GCCTCTGGTTGTTTATAGCCAGCAATCCAATTGCTTTATCGTTTTACCGCGTACGACCAACGTACATCGGTTATTGGTGGAGATAGCAAATGTTTATATAAGCGCAATTTGCACATAAAAATACTTAAAACATTTTGAACACTACTTTTGAAGAAGAAATAAAGATAACAAACTGTATCTTTATTTTTGATTTTCAATAATATTAAGATTTATTAGCATCTTATCAATTACATTTTAGGCAACCGCCGCGAAATTCCCCTTTCTTTAATCTTAATCTGTTTTAATCCTTTTAAAGCTTATCAATTCGTAGAAATCATGGCTACCCAAATAGAAACTAGCACATGCGATAAGCAAGGTCAACAACTAAAGCCATAGTCCGAAAAAACTCTTTCCAAACTGTTAATACACAAAATTGAGATTATAGAAACTAATATAATTAAAAGAAATACATTAACAGAAAGAATAGAAACAGAACAGAACTGATAAATTAGAATTTCCGCGGCGTACATTCTTTAAAATTCGTTCAAAGTTCTCAATTTAGCATACAAAATTTAAAAGGCAAGAGGCTAGCGGAATTATTAGTAGTTAAAGACGGTATATTTTACATTCTTAAGGTCCGCGATGTCGCAACCATTTTTTAATAATGGTTCCTACAAAGAATGGGCCTGAGAAGACTATGCGTTATTTCCACAAAATGGGAACGTTCCAATCTCCCGACTAGAGTTTTATAAAATGTATACTTTGACATTTATCATATCCATATTGCAGAAAGTAAATTATCCAAGATATTATATTTATCGTGATTGCGTTTAATTTATATTTCCAAAGAATAAATCTTTTCATACACACACACCGGAATAATCAATATTATTTGCTTTAAGTGAACATTGCCATCCTTTTTTTTTATTTCGTGAAATTTATTTTTAAGCTTGGTCGACTTTGCTATATAATCAATAGATAACACTCATAATATGATTTAAAATTCAGAATGCTCTTTGGAATAATATATAGGTTTACACTAGTTAATATCGTTCCTTGGAATATGTTCTAAAGGATATTTTGATAAATTTCTTAGTGGTTTTTGTATTCCATTTAGATATTTCTGCTTTAAATATTGATTTATCATTCGCGGTATGTAGTCTTTTATCAACACCTTTGTAACAATAAATCTTGTACATTTAAGCACCACACTTGAACTAGCATTATCCTTGCTAATCACTCTTGATTTGACGTACCACTTGGGTTATTGGCATGTAGTACCAGTAGTAGCAGGGCTACCCCTGATGTGGTCAGTCTCATGATCGATGGGTTTTACCCGACGCGTATTAACAACAAACGTGGAATCGGGCGACTAATTTTGTGGCTAGGTTCGGAGCACCTTTTATAGATTTAGCGATCGTCCGTATCAATGTGTGTTGAACCACACTTATAAACTTATATTAACGACTATGATTATACGATACTGTTGCCGAATGTCCGATAAAGCGAATTTCTGCTCGCCGTTATTTATAACACTGCCGGCCACCTTCTGGCTCCTAAAGCAAGTACGTATTTAGGTAGGGGAATTAACATAAAAAGCAAAAACAATTCCAAAGATAAGCCAAAAAGCGTGGTCTAATCACAAAATCGAGACCGATTCACTTTTATACTCGTGTAGTTCGATTTTCGTCATTTTGGCCAATTGGCGAGATAAGCCCAACAATTTAGTATGTGGATTGCAGGTCCGAAACATTTATGTGCTTATATTGGTTTTTTATGCATTTTGTGGACGAAATATAAGCGGTGTGAACAACATTTATTATTATACTGATTCATTACACAGCTAGGAAATGCATTTAGAGGCGCAATAAGCAATTCACAATGTCGTTGCACTTAAATCTTATCAATTGATAAACAAGTTTTGTCTTTTTGGTCGATTGAAAGGTTGACAGGTTCGAAAAATGCTCTCGACACTTAACACAGCCATATGACGCAGCGCCTTTACAGCTCGAAATTAAATATTCGGATTATATGCGTAAGCCCGAATCAAACGATGTGTAATGATTACGCTTACTGTGACGTGGGAATTCCGGAACATTTAAAATTTTTTAATAGTACTGCATTTTTTTCGACTATATTGAAGCTAGACATGATATTGTGGTAAATTTTTGTAACCAAGCTCACTAATTTTTAAGGCTAGAGTCACAAAATTTTACAATTCGACCACTTATTGAGCATTCTAAAGAAATGGGGCACATCGACATCTTATCTAGCGATGTATCGATGTAACTTTCTGTACTTGCTGTTACCAAGTGTATTCTATCGCAAGCTATTCCTAGAAAATTTCATAATCTTCTATAATCTCTCCTAATCATGCTGTTGGGTTTTTTAGCCAAATATTTGAACCCTGGCGTTCATATTTGGGTGTTCCTTTTATATAAGTATATGGCTTTCCCGGAATTTGATAGAGCTCGCCCGATAAAACCACTAACGTATAGGGTGCCATTTATTAAGATTAGACTTTGTCTAATTTCGCTTTGTATTAAGGAAATAACGGAAAAATAATGCAAACTTAAAAGCCACTAATCGGGTAATTCGTTTCTCCAATCATAAACCTTGTCTCGGACTTTGGCTGGCTATGTGCGGAGCATTATAAGCCATTTCAGTACAGATATATTTATGCGTATAACTGAATGCTTTATCGTTATTTATGAACATTAACAATCGCTTAATGATTATTAGATTAGTATTTGCTATATGGTTGAGGGAAGGTCGTGGGAACCCAGAGCCGTTTAACTTAGTCCAACGTTTTTTCCGAACTTTTATTTATTGGGGGCATAAAAATACATAACCAACTGCAAAGCGAGCAGCAAAATTGGAATGTTTTTAGTACACAAGCTCTGAGCGCTGTCAGGCTGGGGCGATGGGGTTGGTGGGTCAGTCGGTGAATTGGTGGGCGGGATAGTGGAGTGAGTTGTAGGAGACGAGGCAGTTGAAGAAGTAGTGGTGGTGCTGCTGCTGGTTGACGTAGAAGTGGAGGTGGAACTGGAACTAGAAGTGGATGACGTACTGTCGACTGGTGGCTCAGTTGTCACTGCAGTGTCCTCCAGCAGCTGATGATTGCAATGCGATATTTCCAAAGGATCACACAGCTGGCAATTGGCATCGGCCAGGCAAGTGCGCTGCTCCGCCAAGGTCAGGGAGCAACCTCTTTTAACTCGTTGTTCCTTGATGCTCGCATAGCAAAGGCTGCGACCACTGCGTGCTATTCCACAGGCTTGTGGTGCTAGCTGCTCCGGTGCGGTACGGCAATGTTCATCCTTCAAAAGTAATGCCATTAGGTTCTGTTTGTTATGATGATCGTTTTTGTCTTCTCACTCACCTCCGTATCAGTACACTGCAAACAAGACAGCTGTCGCGAACTCACATTGTTGCACTTTTCGGTTACGCATATTTCACATTGTTTACGGATGTGGTTTCTGCTTTCGCAAGGCTCTCTCCAGCTGGCTTCTAATCGCTCCAGACAGCCCTGTGCTTTAACCACACCCCCTTCAAATACACTTACGCATGCATCTAGCTGATCCACGCACTGTTCTGTAGCCTCATAATTGCTCCTTTGGCAGTTGATGCCGCGGCAGTAATAGCATGACTCCGATGCCAGGACGAAACTTGCCCTCAGCAAAGGCAATAAAATACAGAGAATTGCGCACTTCCTGGTCAACATTGAAACTGATTCAATTGTCATTGGGAGTGGCTTCGCTTTATATAAACTCGGTTGCACTCAAGAGTGCTTTGTTACAGGCCACCAGCTGAAGTGCATCAACGAAGTGTTGGTCCCGATTAGTCGGCCCTTTAAAGTTTTCCTAGTTAAGTATAAGTATTTATTACTAGCTCACCCAAAGTCAAGCTGATTGATAACCGTGTAAGGCACATCATTCCTGCGATTTGTCGTGTTTGTTTGTTGTGCTCTTGAGCTCTGTGCAAACAATTCACCATTTGGCTTCTTTTGTGCATGCATAAGGCATAAATGGTACTTAAAAACTCTTGTTAATGGGTTGCATTATAGACTCTTCCTTAGTCATAAGTAAACAAACATGTTTACAAGTGTAATGGAATTTTTCCTTGATATAGCATATTATCAAAGGTAGCTTTCTTATTTCGGTGATGGCTGCGTGATCATATTTGGCTTCCGTCACGTGAATCACATGAGTTAAAATTCCTCTGGACCTGCATTATCGATTCTCAGATAAGCTTAAAATCAAGTAATTAATAAAATTGTTTAATTTATATTTAAGAATCTGTACGACCTTTATGACCTTTCTAACAATATTTAAGAATCTGTACGATGTGACTAATTGGCTGATTGACCAATTCATTTTATAATCGTTACATTTTAAGACGAGGGGATTTGTAAAATTTCTTCTGCAAGCAAAGAAGTCAAGATTGATTGTCATCAAAAATACTTTAAAAAAATTCCCCCCGGTTAAGAAAGGGGGGGGGGGAGGTGGTTTTGCCTGCGTCTTTAATTACCCGACATCAGAAATGACTGATTACATATTTTACCCGTTCAATACCCCCAAATTAAAACTAAGTTCTTAGATTATTTGTCGTCTGTGGTTTTTAAAAATCTATATTTACGAGGAAAACTGTTGCTTAAAACTGTATTACGCATCATCATAAGTGGATAAGCGATAGTTAAAATTAAAATTAAATTATAATATTTCTTGATAGACTTCATAGTTCACTCCTACATTAAAATCCTTACATCCGATATTTCTATCTGGGATGACTACAATAAAATTCGAGCTAAATTTAATTTTTTCTAAGAGTAAATCGAAATCCAGTACGAATTATATTGATTTTTTAATTTGATTTTCATGTGCTCTCATATCGTCAATTTTTCATTGCTGTACGATAAAATAGCTTTTGGGAATTTGGGAATAGATACGTTATCTTATCTCAACTAATAAGTGATCGGCCATAATACATTTGATCTAAATTTGAGTGGTTTGCCATTTATATTTCGTTTTTTATTTCATCTTAATAGCTTGTGAAGTGTTTATTGTTTTGTGGTCAGGAACATAGAAGTTATTGAGTGAACTCCAGCCTTAAAACTATCGCAGAAAGCGAATAAAACTTTTTCCAGCATTCGAATCAACTACAATATTGACGCTGTTGCAGCCGCGGACATCTCCAGACGAGCACAGCAGGCAGTTGGCATCCTTGAGGCAGCTCTGCTGATCAATCACAGTTGTTGCACAGCCTCGCTCAATTTTGCTGCCAGAAGCGGAGGCTTTCACGAAACAATATGAATTGGAAGCCGTTGGAGCTGTGCAAACCGCCGGCTTCAGCGAGGTCGCGTTCTCAGCGCAGTTGGTGTCCTGTGGATATATAGGATTTAAGATAAATATAATTGCAAATGGCCTAAGAATATGCATCGTACCTCGCTAGAATTACACTGCACACAGGCATATTTCGCGGAACCCACATTGTTGCAGCGATCCGTGTTGCACTTAAAGCAGGAGCCATCGTTCGATGAGTCACATCGTTTGCGCAGCTCTGAAGGAATCTCAAGGGAGCAGCCTTTGTAGAGAACCTTAGCTGCTTTCAAATAAAATGTTTAGGAAGCACTTTAGGGAAGTGTGGGGCTGCAATAATAACCTACATTTATCATAGATGGCCACGCAGTAGTCCAGGGAGTCCACGCACTTTTGCTCCTGATTCAGTTCCGTTCGCTGGCAGTTGATGCCTCGGCAACTGTGGCAAGTTCTGATGTTGTTGGCTTCGCCATATCCTGTCGAAAGGGCGAGCAACAGCAACGCACTGAGAATTACTTTGACTTTCATGGTAGGGCTTTAACTGTGGGCCGAAGGCCAACACGTTCGACTTTTATACCCTAGCTGTCAGTTGAAGTGCACTCGACGTCGGCTCCACATGGCATAACACTTGACAGGTGGAAACGTTGTAGTATCTAGCTTAGAAATTGCTCCATTACTGATAAACATAGAAAAAAAATACTGAAAGTTATTAAAGCAGAAATAAGGTTTGAAATAATTGAAAGATTTTTAATTTTTCGGAAGCACACGAGTGTGTACTTTTTGATTTATATAAGCAATTTGCTTCAAAATTAATTCTTGAATATAATAAAGCTGATCGTACTTAGAATAAGAACACTTCTATAGCAACAGCAAAATGACTGATAGTTATGAAGCTTATCGCTGAAAGCCGTACCCTCAAGCCATATCCAAGCCTCTTTCAAGCTTAAGTACACATAATTATTTAATAGATGATAATAAAACTGTGCAGTATAGTTTAGAGCACACATATGCCCACTTATGGGTCTTTGTTTATATATTATCTAAATACGAGTAAAGTAAAATTTAATGCTTATAGTCAATTGGAATGGATGTACTTCAATTAATTTTATTCTTTTCATAAGTGGTTTAGTATTAATAAAAGAAAACTGGTTAATTTGAATGCTTCTATCAAAATGTTGACGTATTCACCCCATTTTAATTTTACATTCGACCAGCTAATGAATGAAAAACATAGAATTCCATTCGATTTAATTTCTAAAAATGTTTTCTTTTATTTATTTATTTTTAGAAATCATTTGCTGCAGTAAGCTGGCAATAACATTACAAATTATATATAGGACAATTGATAAGTGTCCGTGACGATAAGCCAGAAACCCCAAATTTGCAATCAATAATTTACTTGTGCTTTGATTTTGTTTATTTTTGATTGTTGAACATTTTGAAAGTCATCTAGCGGGACCCTTGAACGGCCACCAGACTGAGCACACCCAGCAGTAGACCAAGCAGTTGCGGTCCCCTTGCGGCGCCAGATTTCATGTCCAGCGCGTAGCTGTTGCAGGCGGTGGAGCCGTGAGCATCCTCTGGAAGGCACAGGCTGCAGTCGCTGTCCTTAAGGCAACTCTGTTGCTCCTTCACGCTTAGGGAGCAGCCTCTTTGCAGATGTGTGTCAACGGATTTCACATAGCAATAGGCGTTACTTGCAGTGGGCGCTGGGCATCGGGAGGGGCTGATGTTGTCTACTGCCGAATTGCAGTCGGCATTCTGCATGAAATCAAGAGTTGAGATATTTGTGTAACTGAATTTATATTAAAGCTTACCTCCAAGCCGCTGCATTGTATGCACTGAAAGTCGATGCGTCCTTGATTGTTGCATAGTTCTCCGATGCACTTTTGGCACTGAATGTCCCGTGCGTCGCACTTGGATTGCGCCGCCAGGGAAAGCTCCAGCTGGCAGCCCCTTTCGCTTACCATAACTGTGAAGCAGAGGTTAAGGGGATTTCCTGTATTGCAACCGATTTTACTCACAGCCCTCGAAGACAGTCACACAAGTGTCCAGCAGATCGGTGCATTTCACAGTCACATCTTGGAGCGTGGTTCGCTGACAATTAATACCCTCGCAGCTATAACAGGTACGGGGAGTTGAGGCATTGACAGCTGCCTCTCTCGACTCGGTGGCAAATGCTAGTGGCAGGCACAGCAAAAGGATAACAGCTGTCGGTGGCAACATGATTCTTAACACCTTCGACTTTGGATCGCAAATTAGAACTAAAACTTGTCGTTGAACTAACCATAACGATTTTCAAGTCAATTGGTTGCACTTGAACATTTTCACTACAATATTTTCCATTGCATGTTGGAATCTCCGATAACAGTTCATATGCAACTCGAAAGCCGAACATCTTCAAGGGGCTTTAATACCCTATACACTTAAAACCAGGAAGTGGGGTTTAATGAACGTTAGTTATTAGTTTGGATTTAATATTAATATTAATCATTGTTTTAAAAATGGATGCCTCTCAAATTAATTTTTGAATTAAAGGATAACGAAAAGGTTTTCCACAAATTGACTACAGAGTGTTTTCGTAGTCAAGCTTGCAAAACTTCAAGATTTTTATATTGTTCGTGAAACATTTTTGTGGCTTATCTGCCGACGTTTTGTTTGCATGTCTCTTGACGTTCCCAATATCACAAGTAGCTGTATTTGTGTAAAAGCTTATCTCCCAGGTAGAAGTATATACTAACATAGTACATATTTATGCACATGTGTGTCTACTAAATTCGCTGTGATTATTTTATTATTATGACTCACGTTTTGAGGTGGTTTACCGGCTCTTTATATAAATCGATAATACCTAGTTACATTATATTTATAAAAATAAGTTATTTGAAATTGAATCGAGAAGGTCCCATTTTAAAGAGTTCATAATCCAAAGAGTCTATGAGTAATTTTTTTTTATCGCCACTACCAATTATTGTTCAGTGATCTATATCTAAAGTTGTTTAATATTTTCAGTGAATCATTTACAATTGGCCATATTCGACCAATCGTTTTTATTAGCCCAGCTATCTATAGGTTATCAGACAGCTTATCATCAATTGCATTGAATTTATACACAATGCGTAGATCTATGACAGTTAAAAATATAAAATTGTGGCAGCCAAAAAACTATGGTTGTAATTTATAGAAAACACGCGGCCTCGGACAATAAGCACTGTGTACATACGTTGGCCAAATTAATTGAACAGACATGTGTCTTCCAACTTAAAGCAGGGATAACAGATACCGAGATATGTAATCGTGACAGACAAACATGTGTAGGTATATGAGAATACATAAATCGACATTATTAAAGTTGTTTACCTATTTTGTGCATTTAAATGCGAATGACAGCATATTGACGCTGAGTGCAGGGTGTCTACCAGTCGGCGACTTTCGTCCTACTGGCTTGTGTACAATTTCCATGCTCAAGTCTTTCTTCTTATTTTCATCTTCCTTCATTACTTGCCTTCATGCCGTTAGTTCGTTTTAACTTTTCAACCATATTTTCAGCTTTTCGCGAACTTTAATGCGAAGGTCACACTGAAATGTTCACTTTTCTCAAATTAAAGCACAAACTGTACTTATTTGCATATATTTACAGCAGATTTTTTTTAAAACCCAGGCAGACGGACGAAAAGCACGCGGAGATTACGTTACACAATCGTAAAGAAGAAAAGCTGCATAGAAAAGAAAGAAAGGAAAATAACACAAGCATAACAAAGAAAAATGCAAAACAGATGAATTGGGGATAAAGGCGCGCACAGAAACAAAGAGAAAAAAATACCAGAAAAAAATTATAGAAAAAAACTCTGAAATCGTTATAAAAATTGTAACTTTATTTTACCGCCGGGGCAACTTTTAGATATGCCATGGAAATAGCGGGCGGTAAATGTTAAAGACAGTGACATAATGAAAATGAAAGTTCCAAGAGGGTTGTCGCAACATCGCCAAGAACAATAACAACAACGACCGAGTAAATCCACTTAAAATCGTATCAAAACAAAACTGGAAATGGACTTTGTAAACTCTGGAAATGGCCTCAAGTTTAAAGCTTCTCCTAAAAGTGCAGCTGTGTACGTTCAATGCTGCTATAACAAAACGCCAAATACTTAATGAAACGAATAATAATATTAATAAAATGGTTTCTACACCGAAAAATATAAAAATCTAGTTTATTAAGTACATTAAAATAAGTAAAAGTGAAATAAAAAGTGCTTGTTCTCAATTATTTGAATAATTCGAGCATTTAAAGATTGCACATTTAAAAGTGTAGCATAGAGCATTGTTGCAGAATGTGAAGCTTGTAGATGTAAGAAATGTTGAGCATAGTGGAATATGGAACTTGGAACGTATTTTCTTCTCTTCTAAGCAAAACGCAAATTTGGAGTAACCAAAATGCCGCCATCGGAAAAGCCCCCAGTTTTAGAAAAAATCAACATACCCCATTTTCAACTCGTACAGGGTACAGGGTACAAGTTAAGTCTGCAGCATGTTGATATATGCGCACCTTGCAGATACATTTATCTAGTGAATTGCCTGTTTATTGAATGTGTGGCAAACGGTTCGCAGATATTTATACTATTTATCGCTTGCCACAAATTTCGCTGAGTATCTAACGAACACAAAGACTACGCCATTTGTTATGCATTGAGTGGGTTTATCTGATGGCCAAAAGTTATGTGACGTGACACTACATATGCGCTTAACGTGAAGTTATATCTGGGAAAATGGATTTGGAGTGTGGATTAGTTTTTCTGCGCATATAATTTACTGCTGATTGCATGTTGGCCCGCTGGGGACACTTATCGAAAACGCTGCCTTCTCATAATTGACTTGAATCATTTTGGCAATATGCATGCGTGTGGACTGACTGATTGATTGATTGATTGATGCATGGAATCTGCGGGGTGTTTCGCTGGCATTTCGCATTGCAAATACGCCTCCTTGTTTCAGGTTATGTATGTGTGGCTCGCTTGGCTTTCATTTCCTTTGCCGCGTTTTGCGGCCTGCGGTCATACACACAACAGCCTGGTTATTTCTCTATCGCCCACTAACTCTTCACCTGCCACTCTTCCTCTCTCTCTGCATCTCTCTCTCTCTCTCTCTCTCTCTCTCTCTCTTTTCCACTGTGGAACTGTGAGTTCTCGCTTGTAATTGCGTTTATTGTGCGTTCGAGATTTGTAATTCACTTGTGCGTTGTGTTGTGTATGCATGTGTACGAGTATGTGTATGTGTAGCATGTCGGCGCCGTGCTGATTGAAAATGGCTTAAGTAATCGACAGTTGATTAGTTGATTTGATTGTTGGTGCTATATGCGCGATTGTTGCTGTTGTGTCCGTTGAACAGTGCGGATTAGTTTTGCAGCTGTGCCCATGGACATGTATATGGTGGGGTTCCACTTCAGCTGTAAATCTTGTTATGACACTTCGTTCATGCGGAAGAATTTAGGAGAATTGCTTAAATCGAAGCGTAACTGCTTATTATTGACACCATGACAAGGT